TCAGAGAGATGATACCACCTTGAGTGTCAGTGATGAGTAAAAGCTTGCCTGTCAGAGAGGTGAGGGAATTCCAGAGAGAGGAAACAAAACCTGCAAGGGAACAGAATGTGAAAGCCCCAGGAACGTGAAATGACTTGGCAAAGGGCATTTAGTGAGTTAATTACAGAGCCAGCACCCGCAGCCTAAGTTTCTAGACATCTCCAGTTATCTGGATAAAGGCTGTAAATGAATCCATTATTCGTAAGTGATGGCAAAAACAGGGGCACCCTTTAAGTTATATTTAGGACTTCCAAAGATTTCCCTGTTGGTGGCCGTGTGACTGAAGAACCGGGCATAAAATCTCCTGTTGCTGAATTAGCTGAATGTGCCCTTCCCCTCGAAGCTCTCTGTTAGTGCCCCTTTCAGCTGCCTGGCTTCTCTGGCCTGGGGCACTGGCCTTCAGAGTCTCTCCATGCTGTCACTGTCCTTCCCTGCTTGTGTGGTGAAGGAAGAGAGGGAGATTTAAGGCACACAGTGGCACATGTCACATAGAACATGATTGAAGGCAGAAATGGAAATGGTCATAACATACACAGCAGACAATAAGCAGACTTGCTTCATGCATAGAGAGCGAACCGAGACAGACCAGGGAAAATAAGAATTGCAGAAGGGCGGTAAATGCATGAGGCCCTTAAAAATCACGACTGATCTGCTGAAGCTGCAGTTGGAGATAATCTGAGCATATCAACCATGACCAAAATGTTCTAAATGATTAGAAGATGAAGATTCTTTAGTTGCTAAGACCCCTAAATTGCACTTCATAGGCCCCAGAGTGCTGCTGGAGTGCGACATTGGCTGGAGGCCCTTGGTGTGGTCTGTCTGTTTTCATCCTATAATCTTTAGTGTAGATTCTCAGGTAAAGAGAAAAGATTTCAACTCCTACTTCTAAATCAGTACCTATTTTTCTCCAAGCTTTGTTTAAAAAAATAGACACTATGAGAAGGAGTTAAGCCCAGGAAGGATGAAGACAGGAGGAGTGTGATGCTCCAGGAGAAGGTGGTCCCGGGCGCATGCCGAAAACTCCAAACCTCACGCCTATTCTCTGAGTTTGTGTAACATGTATACCTGCATCAAATAGGACCTTATCCATACCTTCCAGAAGTGTTTAATCATCGTAGAATTCTATTAGAGGGCTTTCTATACTAATTTTTTTTTTACTTTGTAAAACAATTCGTGCTGTTACCCCCAAATGATCAGATAAAGAATCTCCATCTTCTACACTATATGAACATGATGAACAAATTATAATTTTGATGCTATTGGTTATATGGTGCTGGAAAAATCCAATGGCACAAAAAAAAAAAAGTATGCTTTGAAGGCTCACTTTATTTCCCCATAAACTGCAATTTTGTTGCACTTCATAGATCCCATAGTGCTGCTGGGGTGCGACATTGGCCAGAGGCCCTTGGCGTGGTCTGTCTCTTTTTATCCTATAATCTTTATCTTTTATGCTCTAAAGAGCAGAAAATCTTTCCTGGATCCCTATTTGATCAAGAAAACTGTATTTGCAGCACCCACTAATGTGCAAAGATAATTTTTTTTTAAAAAGAAAGAGA